CTATTTGTTTAGCCCTTTTCTGTCTGCGATTACACCTGTTATCTGAGGTTACTTTGAGAAAAGTAGGTTATCGAAGCATGGAAGCGTTTCTTAGCGCACACTCAAGGTCCACCTTGATTCACTAAGGATAAGGACAGTGCTACGTGTGGGTGAACTTGTGTGTGCATGTGCGAGGAAAAAGGGGGAGGGTAGAGGCAATAAGCCCTGTTTACCTTTGGCATTTACTTATGGTTTATCCTGAAGATAAGCAGCTCATTGGCCTACAGGGAGCGAGTGTGTGACATGTTGAGGCCTGAAAGAGTAGAGACTGCAGTGCTGCTTGACTGCCTGCAGGAAACAGATGCAGGCCTGAAACCAATGAGGGAGAAACAAGCAGTAGAATGAGTTCCAAAATTGAAGAATGGAAAAAAAAAAATCCGGAATCTACTTTATATGGTTGCCCTGCATTTGTTAAGAAGCTTAGATGTTTTTTCTTCTTGGTTTGTAATGGCTAATTTATACAGGTATCTCTGGAATGTGCTGATAGAGCCAGAGTGGAGTTCCAGATTCTTGTTGGATCAAGAGGTGTTTGCCATATTACATTACAGCTTTGGCCAAACACAAAAGCTAAAGTACACCCCCACCACCACACGCATATATTTAATGAACAGACAAGGTTATCTGTCAGCCAGTGTCTAGTGTAAGTACGCTGGGACAACATAAGATGAGTAAACTGTCTTTGTCACACACAGAAATATCAATGTCTATGCAAAGAGGTCTTTTTCAATGCTTTGTACACAAATGCTGACAGGCTTACAGGAGGCAACTAGTTCTCTTCACATCCCCCCCATGTAGTGCTGAAAAATTAATCATTTTTATATTGAAATTGCAGTTTGAAAGAGCATAAGAGCTGCAGTTTCAATTGTAGCCTACATGTAGTAAATGGGGATTTTTTTTTTAACCTAAAAACAAGCTTGTGACCTGCCTGTCTGTGAGTAACTAAACACCCACATGATGCATACATGAAAACACAACCACAACTGACTGTGTCTGGCACCTTGAGTTTAGCATTTGAGCCTGAAGCAAGAAAAAGTGGGTCTGCTGGTCTTTCTAGCCAAAAACAGGCCATGACATTAATTTGTAGAAAGTAATCACAATTTACAGCTGTCACAATATTGCAGCTAGATATTTTCCCCAAATAGTTCAGTCCTACTTCCATGACCGAGAGTAGCTTTGTCCAACTGGCCTCTTAATAATAAAGATCCAAACAAGGCTCTTTGGAACAACTTTTGGTCGCCTTAAAGAACAATTTTTGTAAATGTAAATGATCCTCCACATTAAGTAAGGATTCTATACCAATTAAAGCTATTTCCTAGAGCTATAAGTCAACCTCCAAGCCAAGAACCATTCAGGAACCTGTTTTTAAGAGTGTGGATGTTTGCTTTTACCAAGCGGCCCTGAAACCAACCACACATGATAGAGTTAAGTTTGTGTGACTTATGAGGGGATAGAATCAAGAACAGGTGTCGTTGTGACATCGGGCAGGCTTTTCATGTGGTTCTGCACAGGTTATGAGGGAGGTGTGAGGCAGGAAGTGCTTGAAAATGAGAGGTGGGTTACAGCTTTTGCAAATCTATGTATGTGTGCATATCAGTCTGCCATTTTAACGTACCTGAAATGTCAAAGCCAACGCAGTAGCAAAAGCAGTCAGGTTGAGATGTTTAACCTCTCAGTATGCCACAAGGGCTTTTTTCGTTTTTACTATTTGCGTTTTTAGTGCTATTTGCATTTTCATTGGTGTCTTGGACATAATACTCATGTAAACACATATTGTACATACAGACTATGGAGGCATGATATGGAGATAAAAAAAAAACATATTGTGACTATGTTGCTACATATTGCAATTATGCCTCACAATATGTTTAAAACACATCAGGATGCACTTGATTTAATGTAGTTAAATTATTTCTGAAGAAACCCATTCATTATTGTTGGATTATGTGCCTTACTTAATTCATCCAAACACTCAACACAGCACAATAAACATTTAATGACTGGTTAGAAACTCATTTGCATATTGCAGATTGATCGTGCGGCCCTGATACAGATTTATACATGCAGGAGCATACTGATGATAAAAGCCTTTGCTCTGAACTGACACTATTTGGAGTATTTAGTCCTGCTTATGGCCTTCTAACTGCTTACTTTTCAAAGACTTAAACTGCAGTCCAACTGCACATTTTAGCCATGATAGAATGAAACCACTCTGTTGGCTCTGACTCATCTGAAACTTCTCTCTGATCGTATCTCCGGCTAGTCTGAGGCCAGAGCAGTGCTGCAGATACTGCTCAGGGTTCTCAGAGAAGACACAGGGAACCATTTCCCAAACCACACGTATTTGAAACCACACATACTTCAAGTTCTCCTCAACCCTCAGCTTCCCCCCCTTGATTCTCTTTTTCGTAGGTCAAAGGTTTCTTTACAGCAGTAAAAGAAAAAGAGCATGTGATGAGATGACTGCCAGGAGGCTAAGGTGAATCTGAATGACTAGGAGAATCATTACATGGCTACACAACCAAAGTGTAAGTTGAACTAAATCTCCAATCTGAGAGACGTTTTATTGATGACAAGTGGAAAGTTTTATAAATGACTAGTCTGGCTACCAGACTTGTTCTATCAGTGTAGATTCTCAGAGCCAAATTATACACAGGCTTGGACAGTATCTTTCACTAAATGATAGTTTATCACTAGACATGCTATAGCTGTTGTAATGGCCTAGTGCTTCAGATCTTAACTGAGATATATGCAGATAAAGGTATCAGCATATTCTCTTCTCTGTCAACAGGTTTTCCTATATTGTAATCTTAAACTGTCTGGGAGGATGTGAGCCAACAGATAGTTTTGTTTACGAGTTAGCTATTATTTGTTAACTGTTTAGTAAGATTTTTGTGGATACAATGCATACAACAGTGCTGTTTCAGCCATTAGAATAAGTTCTAATAGTTTCACATGTTTAACCCTAAAATCCTTCCATCAGAACAGTGCTCCTAAAAATCCACTCCTTGAGGGCTGCAGCACATTTTCACATTATTACAGCACTTGATTCAATTGCCAGCTTCATGAGAGCAGGGAGTTAGTCATGTGTTAGAGCAGGGAAAAGACCAAATTTATATGATAGATATAGGATGATACCACTTTGTCTTTTCTGAAATACCGATATTGAAACCTTGGGTATCGGCTTCTTCTTTACAAACTGCTGAAGTTTAAAATAAGTGATTTTTAATGGAAGCACCATCCTTAAAATGAACATCAAAAGTGGTCTATCATGCTCAAAACACAAACCAAGCTAACATCATCACCTAACACAGTGTGAGTATGAATAAATTAGGTCTTTATTAAACTATCTTGCTGATATTAGTTCGATACTGATACCCATCGATACTAAAATGCCATCTCTATATTATGAACAACATTCAAGCCTTTCTCTGACATTCTACTAGTATTGTACATGCACACAGATCTACGCATCCGCACACAAGCAGGGAAAGAGCAGAATTTGGAAATTTACTGTTTACTTTCTTGCTTCTCAAACAGAGAAGTCGAGTACACTCTGATAGAAGCATTACAAAGTCTACCAACTGTAGGAACATTGCTCAATCTAGCTGCATAGTGCAGAGAACAGATTGCCAGCTTTGCCTGGAGTTATTACTGTACATAATTAGCATACAATAGCGTTCTCAGCATCTGTCTAATTTCCATTGTGCAGGTGATGGAAAGCGACCTACACCATGTTCTGGAGAGTTTGCATTGTAGGTTTGCCTATATAAAGAACTCGCGCACACACACATACACACATACACCTCCACCCTTCACCTTCAGAGTAAAGCCACATCCTGCAGCACTTTTGTAATGTGCACATATCAGTGTAGCTCATACATACACTTAGCATGCACCTCATAAACAGGAAACAGCTCTTTGTTTCATATCACGCATGAGGCATGTGCTCAAAGACAGAGAGTACATAGTCCGGAAAATGTGGTGGTTGATAGCTAACTCTTCCACTGCCACTCACCTGAGAGAGAAAGACACACTGTGCCACATTTAACACTGTTGGCATTTGACATGCCTGTTCTTTTTTTGTTGTAATGCTATGACGTTTTGCATTTATAGCCTTCTATAACTTCTTTTAAAACTAACAGGCCTATGTCAAACATAACTAAATTACCATTCCATTTCTGTGTAGTTGGGCCTAAATCAGAGGAAAATATATTCAAATTTATATGCTTCTCCAGCCTTTTAGATTTAGATCTCAGGATCACCAGTAATACACAAATCTGCAGTGTAATATTGCATGGGTGCATAAAAAGGAATATTCAGTTAACTTTGATGGAGTTATACAATAGCAAACCACAACAGGCTAGCTCTTTATACAGCTTGAGAGAAAAGGCTAAGCATACACAATCATGTGGTGGCCCTGAGAATTTCAGCGTCACCTCAGTTCTAACAGTTTTCTGACAGCTCGATTCTCAGTACATGGCTCTTCTGGGAGTAGTTTGGAATTCTGATGAATTAGTCAGCTGTTTAGGAGAATCCAGGGACATTTCCCACCATTCCCTCTGTGTAATCAGCCACACTCAGTTGAAGTTTGATCTTGGTCCGGTCAATACCCCACCAATCCTCTCTAGACTACCAATGATCATGCTTCTCTTAGCAACTCCCTCATTTCTACAAACAAAGACACAATTTGATGTTCGATAATACGCTGTACACGAGACTTTTTTTTAGCATTGATGTTGCCCAGTCATCTTCATAATGATTAGGAAAGCCATAATGATCAGACTGGTGCCAGCTATGACGGCAGTTGCCAGAAACTTTCCTCTGCACAATCACTGCATTATTACTGCAATTTATGTAATCGTTTTAATAGTATTTGCCACTGAGGCACACATTTGCTCATACTCATCCATTGTGATGTTCACATAGTCCAACTCCCAAAAGAAAACACTCCAGACTACATATTTTTTGAAAAATATGGGGTTTATTGGTTTTAACTGCAATCAGTCATAACAAAGCAATCAATTTTATATAAACTCACATAGAAATTACTGTAGTGAACAGCAAAAGCTGTTTAAAAAATACATTCAACAGTTTAGGCTAGATACTTTCGTTGTGTCTATCCTGTTAACCAAATCTTCTCAATCTTCAATTCCATTGAGGAAACAAGGAATAACTACTCAAACGTATTTTATCGTCGTCTGCATCATTATTCAAGGCAGGGAGCGTAAGCTCAATGGAATGTATAAAAAGAGGCACTTTACATTTGGGCTGGAAGAAGGGTTCCAAAAAACCAATTAGAAACAAAAATAAGGACACCTATTCTCCAACCCATTTGGTCACAGTTATTGCCTGCAATTCATCTAATTTACACATGTAACTGGAAGAACTGCTTTTAACACTGAAGTTTTGTAACCTGCATTGATATCACACCACAATCATCTCAATGAACACATATGCAACAAGAGAATGCACTTCAGGTGATACTTAAAATGGAAGCAGAAGCTTTAAGGCCATGAAAGTCCAACTTGAATCGAACTCACTTCTGTCTCTAGTAACAACGTTCTGATAAATGTGTCCCCTTGAGATATTCTGACAACAAGATATCTAGAACTCACAGTATACAGTTCAGTATTTCAAACTGGTGCTGTATCTTCCGCTACTATCTCCGGTACTAAGGGGGGAAAAAAAAAATGCTACATGTGAGGACTAAACCTGCCTCAACTTAAACAAAAGGGGTGCAACAACTGAAGATTGACTAAAGAAATAAAGATGAATGTACTGATGTCAAGCTTTCTAGTGAGTCCAAATATCTATCAAGGAAACATTAGGCCTAATAGTTTTGCAGTCCAATATTTGGGAAAAAGAATGAAAAATCTACAATAAATAATCAAAATGCAGAAGATTTTTTTGTTTTTTCTTTAAATTAAGTTTCATTTTTATCAAAGTGTAGTTGCAAACAAGTAATTGTAGTACAATATATTAAACTGTGAAAAAAGAAAGTTGACAAGTCTTCACAATCTTAAGATTAATACAGAAGATCATAATTTAACATAAAAGAAAATATATTCTATCGTTTCATTATCAAGATAAATACAAACAAAATTAACAAAAAAATGCATATGATCACCAATAAATATGTTTGATAAGTTAAATAAGCAGTGACAAGCAAAACCTTCTGTCTTGAAAGTTTTCTTTTCCAAACAACAACAACAACAATAATAATAATAATAATAATAATAATAATATAATAACCATAAACAATGACAATAAGTCAAACAAAAGAGGTGGAAAGATGTGATGAAATTACAAAGTGATCATCTGAGCAGATTCTATGGAAAAGCAAATTAGCTTGGAGATCTAAATAAAGTCACAGGAAGTTCAGCTGCACCTTGAGAACGCTGGAATTCCCCTCTGCTGATTGGAAGGTGGGTAGAAAGTCAGTCTTAAAGTTTAATAGCCAGTTAGGCATTCCCTTCCCAACAAACACCAAGTGACCAGCCACAATGGGAAAACTGGGGTGGGGGACAGCAAAAATTGTTCATTATTGAGTGAAGGCACCCAATCTCAGGCTTTTGCGCTAGTTTTGTGAGAAAGCCAGAGCAGGCAGCACATGATAAAAACAGAACGTGCCAAATATATTCTTGAACTCCCATTTTCAACCTCATGAGAAGTCCTTCCTGCAGACTGATGTCTGCCATCTAACAGGAGGGCAGAAGAATGCTCAGAGCAAGAGCTACTACATCAGGCTGTTAGAAACTGAGGGGGGGAAAAGAGACAGTAGTCCTTTCACCTCAACACTTGCATGATAAACCCCAGGCACTTTTATTTCCTTTTTTCTTACGTTGGTCTGCATTCAGACAGCTGTGAATGATCTAAGCGAGACTCTATCAAACCCATTCAGCTAGTTAGGAGAGTGTCCTTGAGTTGAGTGGTGCTATAAGGGGGGAGGAAGGGTCCTCAGCGTAGAACTACTCCCTCAACATGCCACCTGTGGCTCTGCTATGCACTACTGAAGCAGTAGTACCTGGCACAACAGTCTCTTACCTTTCACCATTCCACTTCCTGCTCTAGTTGTTTTGGCACAGTCACACATGTCATGGCAGGGCGTCTATGAGATGAGGCCAAGGCAGCAAACAGGTTTTTGGGCCGAAGAGGGAGTTTTTGCTTGTTGTGGTTAAATAAATTGAAAAGGAGTTCCCTTAATTCACTGCATCTTTTTTGTTGATTTTTTTTTTGCATCTTTTTTTAAAGCCTAAGTGATAGAACGAGGGAAGTCTACTGCCTCTAGAAGGCTAAAGAGTAGGCAGGAGGTAGAGGGAGTACTCGTCCCTCGTGCTTTCTGACCACTACTACTGCGAGCAATGCAGGAATCTGGCTCTGGTCACCTCAGTCATCTGAGATGGAAAGCCTGCTGAAGATGGGCAGTCGGCGTGTGGTGTCAAGGACGGGCGATTCTGAGCCACTCAGACTGCTACCCGAGCTGCTCTGGTAACCCTCTTGGTCGGAGAGGGAGTCTGGCTGGCTGGACGGAGACTCAAAGAGGTGAGGAGACTCCGACATGGGCCTGAAGTAGTAAGGAGTTGTAGATGGAGAGGATGGCGCTGGGGCAGTGGGATCAGCTCCAGACGAGGGTCCACTTCCCAAGCTGGGACCAAAGAGGTTGGCCAGCTCCTGGCTGGAGTATGTGAAGGGATTGCTGCTGGGCCATTCAGGCAGCTCATCTGGGGAGAACATGGGGGGAGGGGTGACTGAAGTGGGGCTGTCTCTCAAGCCGCCAGAGCTGGGGAACCCAGCAAAACTGTAGCTGTGCTGTAGACGTGGTCTCTCCAGCTTGTTGGAGGTGGAGAGTGGGGATGGGGCAGGAGGAGGCCCACGGCGTTCTTCTGCATTATGGATGAAGTGGCAGCGGGGGCCGTAGGGGCAGAAGCCGATGGTGTGGAAGGTTCTGCAGAGCTCCGTCTTGTACTTGGGGTGGCGGGTGAGGCTACGCAGCTCATGGATGCCATGGGCAAACTGGCACTTGTCACCATACTTGCAGGCACCATTCTCCTCGAAGGGCCTGCACAGCTCCGTTTTATAGCGGCTGGAGTTGACCTGGCTGCCTCCAGGGCCACCAGGGCCTGTACATTTCTGCAGCAGGCGGTCCCCAGTCTCTGAGAAAGAGCGGTCTCGGAGCCGGTTTTCTTTGTTGCTACCGCCGGTGCTACCCATCCCTGTCCCCAGCAAGGCTGGGTCTGCCTTGTTCAGAAATTGATTCTGGTTGAGCTTGCTGCTGGGCAAAGTGACTGAGTGCCGTCGTTGGTAAACCCCACCAATGGAGGGTGTCCCCACAGCCTTCCTGTCCAGCAGGCTCCCAGTGGGGTTGGAGATGGGAAGATTTGCTCCAGTGCAGGGCACAGACATGGTGTGTGGAGAACTGAGAATGTTATTATTGTAATTCAGCATTTTGTTGTTCTGCGAATCAAAGAGAGACATTGAAAGGTTGATGAGAATACAGTTTACCTCAGTGAAGTCTGAGAAAAAAAGAACATTAATCATGGTCACATCATGCAAATTTAAACACTGACTTGTTTGGAAATCTTAGACAAGGCATGAATGAAATAGTAAATCAAACTTCTAGATATACATCTTTGCTGCGTACAACCTTTGGTTAATGTTATTTTAAACCAATGAGGAAATACAGGCCTATGGAGCAGCTGGTTTGGCGAGTTGCCCACCAGAGGAATGCATGGCCGCTTGAGTACATGGAACGCAGGGAGGTGAGTGAGCGCGACAGACTCATGTGGAAGAACAACAACTAACCACGCTCTGTGGCCTTAATGAAAGTCCTATATCGTACAAGGGAATTTCTCTGTATCTTGGCGACACCGATAACAAAGTCCAAGTTGATGGTCTTCAACATGCCATATCTACTTAAGATAATGCCCTGCTTCCTTTCTTTCACAGTAGTATTAATATAAACAATACTCTTCTCAGTGGCATTTAGCATACGACTGTAAAACTCAACACAACGTGCGAGACATTTGCAAGAAATAAAATGTAATATACTTAAGTTTAAGGGGAAAAAGCAAGCTTGAAAGTGATGATCCAACCATTACCTTACCTACAATAGCTGCTGTCTAAATCTTTGTAGTGGGCATTATAACGTCTAATGTGTTTAAAGTGTGTTAAGAACAGTTTGTCTCGGCAGGGATTTAGACTAGCTAGATATCCAACTTCACCAGGACTGATATTACCTGACGTATCGCCTGGAAAACAAAGTTATGGAGCTAGCCAGTTCGTAAGCAACTTGACTACAGGCATAACTGATTTACAAGCGCAGTAAGTGGTCTTAGCCAACTTCGCCCGGCCAAGCCGCGTTTTCTAGGAGTTTCAAATCTTCTGTACAAGTTTACGTTGGTCAGGAGACCGTCCTGTTTTCTTTTTTACAAGATTAATTTCCGTCATTTTACTGTTATTAAAGTGGAAACTGTGACCAACAACAGCACACTTTTAAGGTTTGGCCAAGTAGGGTACAACGGTTAAGTTACGTCTTCCATTCATCGCTGGTAAAAGTTGTGCTGGTGCATTGACATGGCCGCTCCCGTTCAAACGCGTTTCACTCCCTCCGAAATTTAACGATAAAATGTCGCGAGCGAACACGTGAACTTCACGAGTCCGTAGCGCGAGTGCTGCTGTGAGCTGGGCCCAACAAATCTCGGTCTGCAGCTACGCTGCTTCAGCTAAAACAGTGCCTATAAGACTACCTGTTATCTCCATACAAAACCACAGCTACACGAAAACAAGGTCAGTTTTTAACCAGAACTCTTTTAAACACTTTATGCTACCAAAATCATGTCAACTCAGCGCCTAAACAGCCACTCATTTCTCACATTCCGCAGCACGAAGTTTAAGCTAACTGGGCTAACTACGTAGGACAGCAAAACTTCCCCGTACCTTGTTGTTGTTGTTGTTGTTGATAACTTCGCTGAAGTCAAAAAGAGGCGGCACTACAGCCGTGGTCATCTTAGAAAGGAGGAAAGTAACAACGAAAAGGCGCGAAAGTACTGCGATATGACGATGCTTTACAAACGGGTTCGTGTCCTGTGAACTTTTCCTTTTTTTGCCCTCACAGAGAACCCCCTCTACCCTGCCTGCGCGCCCAGCATTTCCTTTATATAAAAAGCATGCAGGAGGAGCTAAGAGAGCGTCAATAGTTTAGGGCGTTTCTTGCTGCCTCTTTTTTTCTTGTGAATCAAGTTTTTCTCCCTCCCTCTTTAACGCAGACCTTGCAGTGCTCGGGATTTGAAACAGATCTTGATCTTTGTACATGCACGCAGCAGCTTCAAAATAATGCTGCTGCTGCTGCTGTTGTGAAACTTCATGCATGCATGCAACAATGTTGATTAATGAACGCACAAAACAGTTTGTACTATTAGGTGGGAGATATTGTAATCTTCTTATTGGCTCTTACTATAACTATAGCTTATATGATCTTACTGTAACTTAGCCTTCGTCTTTATTCACATGTACAAGAGTTTAATTTCATGAGCAACACGTTACAGTTAACTTAAGTGATTAAAGTGCATACTGTTCATCAGATTTGTGTATTTGACTCTTAGGACTATACCTGTGTTTAAAAAGTGGATTGTTGTATTTGTTTGCTGCCATGTTGCTGCTCATACTAGTCCATCTTTTGGACCAACATTCCATAACATGACTATTTAAACGCTTACAATAACAGCAACACTGACATTATTGAAATAATTACAGTTGGACTCAGAGAACTTGCTTATTTCAAGACTCTACCCTTAATTGTATCCTTGGCCTTCAGCTACATATCCGCTGTGTAATTAATGTAGCCAGCACTTAATTGTTCTCCTCAAACGTCACATGTGGGACTTTCCGGTGCTCCTGGCTTATTTAACCCTTGACGAAGAGTGTGGCCCAGCACATACAACAATGCAGCATTGCTCAGCTCATATTGCTGCAGATAAAATGGCATTGTGCACTGTGCTTTGATATCTAGGGTTACCAAATATAGTAGCCTAAGGATTTTAGGTGTACAATTTGAGATAAGGTGATTGTTCATACTGTTTCACGTGAAGAAATATCAAGGCCCGACTAGAAGTTGCTTAACAGACTACTATTTCAGGATATTTTGTGACTGCAAAAGAAATTCAAGACCCAAGTGACCTCACAAAGTTCTTATAGTCATTCTGCTTCTAGATAACGGTGAGAACTATGAAATCCTTTAACTCTATCCAAATCCATTGTGGCAAACACAAGTCTTCACCCTCCTGTTCCATGACTGTGCAGCTGTTCGCTGTGCATACATGCAGTGTCACTCTCTCGGTGATTAGTGGAGGATGAAAGAAATAAGCGGAGCTAGGGAGAAGAAAAGAAATTGTTTACAAAAAAAAGTTAAAAGAGGGAATAGTGAAGGGGGAAGATTTACAGACAACGTTTATTACAACACTCCAGGGTGTGTAAGAGGGGAAGGGGGAGCGGGGTCAAAACATTCCCCTCTTTCAACGTCTGCTCAGCTAGAGGTGGAAGACTTCACATTGGGCTTTTGTGTGCTGCACCTCTGAATAAATTGTAAATAAAGTGGCACTTATAAGAAGTTAAAGCATAAGCAACTTACCTGAACACTATACTGGCCCTTGCTTGGTATTTTCTCCTCATGAGACTTGGCATCCGTTCATACTGTTTAGAGACTGTGAGGAGGAAGGTGTGTGGTTTTTTCCACATAAAAGAAGTTTTACAAGTTTTAGCCACACGGAGTAATCTCCCCCTGGGGTGTTTAAGAGACGGGGCTGTACATTGTAAGGAGCAATGCAAATCATGTCTACACTTCAAAGGGTCTTTGACCTGGAAGTGAATATCAGTATCATAATATCTATATAATCTCAAGAAGAATGGTTGACTACAAACGTGAGAGATTGAGGAGATACGTGTAACTGTCACTTGTCACCTGCAGTTAATCTAAATACCTTGTCATAGACCCTATAAAATCTTATTTTGTTTTTTTTAAAGCCATATATCCTCCTGTTCTTCATACAATCACAGTATGAACATAGTGTGAACTGTTTTTATTTAGATTGACAACTATGGAATTACATTCCAATAGTTGTGTTGAAAAAAAAAAAATAGTGCAGTTAACAAATACATTATGCACTTCTCTATTAACTTTTTCAAGACATTTCTGCAGTATAGGCTACTGACCTGTAGAGGGAGTGTGCAACTCCACCAAAGCCATCATTACCATCACATATTACCAGGTTTTCATCTCTCTTGTCCATGCTACAGTTATTAAATCTGTTTTATATTGGCTGAGCCATATGGAAGTAAGTCAGATGGATTTTAGGATTATCCTGTCCAGTTTGTATGTTTAGAAAAGAACATAATTTAATCTCCAGGGCAAAAAAATATAATGTGGGCATCTTTTTATTTATTATAACATTTTGGGCTGTTTTGTTGAGAATCAGGTTTATGTTATTTTAGTCAACTTCTATGAAACAAGAAAAGCATATGATATTTTCATGTCTATAATGTTTACTTTGCTCTAGATCACATGCCAATGTGTGCTCCGTGATTATGGTCTTCTGTCTGTTTCGTGCCGCTCAGGCCAAGCTTTTTTCAGAGGGAAAATTAAACTGAGAAGAAATTAATTGACCATAAAAGCTTGACCACAGCATTGTTAGTGGTGCACCACCCGTCCTCTCCACTCTTTCTGTTCCCATGAAACTCTTCCGTAGTACTGGTTTTTGCCCCTGTCCCTTTTTATATAGGGGCTTCAGATGAACCGTGATTTGTGTTTGCTGGAAGACCCAGGGGCTTTCTGTTGAAAGTAATGTTAAAAAGATGTCTCTTATTGAGGGGAACACACAAACAAGTGTGTTTTTTTTTGCCAGCTACTTAGGATGAGCTCACTGGTGTATGTAGTGTAAGAACACTGAAGTTTGGTCAAATGGTTTCTTTTAACATCAAGAGATTAAAACATACATTATATGGACTAAAATATTGGGACACACTTCTTAATCATTGAATTCGGGTGTTTCATTCAGTCCCATTGCCACAGGTGTATAAAATCAGCACCTAGCCATGCAGTCTGCTTTTGCAAACTTTTGTGAAAGAATGAGTTGTTCTGAAGAGTTCACTGAATTTGAGCTAGGTACTGTAATAGGATGCCACCGTTGCATAAGTCAGTTCACAAAATTTCCTCCCTCCTAGATATTCCATGATCAACTGTGTGTGGTATTATTGAAAAGTGAAAGCGTTTAGGAACCACAGCAACTCAGCCAAGAAATGGCAGATCACGTAAAGTTACAGAGCGGGATCATCAAGAGCTGAGACACATAGTGCATAAAAGTCACCAACACTCTGTTGACTCAATAAATGCAGAGTTCCAAAGCTCCTTTGTCATTAACATTAACACAAAAACTACGCCAGGAGCTTCATGACATGGGTTTCCATGGTCGGGAAGCTGCATGCAAGCCTTAAATCACCAAACACAATGCCAAGCATTGGATGGAGTGGTGTAAGGCATGTTGCCACTAGACTCTGGAACAGTGAAAACATATTGTGTGGAGTGACAAATTGCGCTTCTCTATCTGGCAGTCTTATGGACAAGTCTGAGTTTGGCAAATGCAAGGAGAACGTTACCTGCCTGACTGCATTGTGCCATCTGTAAAGTTTGGTGGAGGAGGAATAATAAAAAAAAAAAATTCCTACAGACACCCTACAAAACCTTGTAGAAAACTTCCCAAAAAAGTGGAAACTGTTATAGCTGCAAAGGGGAGGGGGCCAACTCCATATTAATGCCTATATATTTAGAATGGAATGCCATAAAAACTTCTGTAGTTGTAATGTGTAGATGTCCCAAAATTTTTGTCCATATAGTGTATCATTTGTATTTTTTTTTTTTTTGCGATTTCAATCTTTACTCATTTCACCCCTCATTTTAGACCTGTGAAGTTCACTGATATACTGGGTACTGCAGCTGACTATAAACCTTATGTAGGGCAACAACCCCTGCGCCCCAAGGGAGGAAAAAAGGTGTCAAGGTTTAATAATGGGAAACAAAGGGAGCGATGAGCATAGTTATTGAAATAGAATTTGCTGACACTGGGAAGTCTGCCGTTAGAGTTTTGCATGTGAATTGTCAGGTCAGTTTCCTCCCTAACCAGGTTTCCTGCCCTGCAGACCAAGAGGAAGGGTGGAATCTGCCAACTGACCACAACATGGTCCGTCTTTATACTCAGGTCGCCATAGTCATCTAAAAACAAACACACACATGACCAGTCGCCATTCAAAGCTGTAGTGATTTAAAGGGCGATGTTAGGGTTGGTGTGATTATTACTAATCATTTAATAGCAATAATAATAATTTAAGAGTAAAATAAGATTATTTTAGTAACAACACAATGGTTTTAAATTACTTGCCGCATTAATATAGAAGTTAGTTAATGTGTGCGGTCATACAGGTGTGCAAATATTTGGGTGCCCCTGGTCATATTACATGTTTTTGTTCATTTTTTTAAAGAGAAAAGCAGTGCAAAAGCAGTAGAATACTACAGGTCTCTACTGAGAACATACATCTACAGATTTCATTGCACATTTACTGTATATTTGCTAAATTTAACTCATTGGGGTGAAAAATAAAATGTATTTTATGTTTTCATTTTTTCTAATATGTTAAACTCAGCAAACAAATGGAGATTGTGCACTAAATTGTGTGGAAAATGCCATATTTAAGTTGGTTTCCTGTAGAAAATGTGTTAAATGATTTTTTAGGTAGAAAAACAACAAAACTTGTAATTTGACTAGGGATGTGCTTTGTCTAGGGATGTGAAGTGCTTCTACATATGACTGCATGTGTGTATATTAAATACTTTACACTGGCTTTGAATGTGGCCCATCCAATAAAATTTTAGACCGGAACTATCTGATTTATTAATAACAATGACTGCACAATATGCAGAATAAGAAATCCACCTAATTCACATAAAGGCCTTTAAATCTGTATCACATAGCAGTATTTGTGGATTCATTGACCTGAGAGAAACAGATTGGTCTTGACTGAGATGTAGGACAAGGACCTCCCCAGGGTGAGGTATTCCTCCGACCTGACCCAGGGACAGGTGTCATGGCCGTGATGTGAGCGCCATT